TTCTTCTCCTTCTTTGACGTCGTCGTCGTCGTCGTCACCCAACCCCCCTCCTCCTCCTCCTCCTCCTCCTCCTCCTCCTCCACTACCCTCCTCCTCCTCCTCAATCAATCAATCAATCAATGAAATAATTCGATTCGTTGATTGAATAGAATCTTGATCTTGATTTGATTCGAATCGAATCAAGATCTCAAAATCAAGATTTTATTAAATCAACGAATCGAATCGATTCATTGATTGAATCGATTGATTGATCAAGATTTTATTCAATCAACGAATTAAATCGATCGATTGATTGATTGATTGATTAATTAATTGATTGATTGATTGATTGATTGATTGATTGATTGATTGATTAATTAATTGATTGATTGATTGATTGATTGATTGATTGGAAAAAAAAAAAAAAGACAGAAAAAAAAGCCAAACAACCCTCTTCTACAACCTCGCCACCCTTTTTTTTTAATTTTTAAAGGGGCCCATTGCCCAAGGCTTGTATTGATATTTGATAACATTGAGGCCGGGGTTCTCACAGTCTACCCGAAGTAACCAACATATGATGATAATGATGAGGATGAGGATGCTAAAACTGATGATTTTTTGCTAATCAGAATCATGATCTGACCAATCACACTCTAAATGCTAGCTTATAAGGAAGAGTGATCAGAAAGGCTAATCAGAATGTTATCTACTTAGAACTACAATCTGGAACCTTATCCTAAATGCAGGTATTTCTACCAGTTCCAGCAATTGTCATATGATGTTGTGTTGTGTATCAATCCCACCTCTACCCTGTCTCACACCCTCTATTTAGCTAAGTTACAGGGCAACACTACCCGCCCCAACTCCGACGATCGTCGACAGGATTATTACCGTCGGTCAAATTAGTGGACTGCCTTCCTCCGTCGACAATCCCCATATCTCTCTACAAGACCTCAAGCTCCTAGTAGTTTAGGTTACAGGGCGATGCCCCAATACCAGTCAACGTCGTTCTGGCATCAACTCGACCTAGGCAAGTGCACATTCACAACTCAATCAGACAATCGACAAAATTGATAATAATACCTAAAAATAAAGGATTTGATTTAGTTGAGTCCCCAACACATGACTGATAAGGATGGTGATGA